CCCCCCCCTCAAATCTGCCTTTTTTTGGGGGGAGGGGGGGGTCATTAATTCTGCTGCTTTATTACGCTGGTGTCACCTGCGCTTCCTCCCAGCCGCTGTCACCAGGCCTCCTGGTGTGCAGGAGGGCAGCTGCAATGCTGGGGACAGTAGCGTAGCCCAGATGAAAATGAAGATCTCGTTCTCTCCGCACGTTTGGCAATGCAACTTTGATCTCAGGAGATGGAATGGGTGAGGGGAAGGAGAGAGTCTGATTTGTGCTACTTTTTTTTCCTTCAGGGAGAGAGAGAGGAGGAGAGGGAGAGAGTATGTGATATGCTGGCAGTGTGCAGCAGCAGCAGCAGCAAACAGGTGTGGCTGGGAGGGCTGTGGATAAGAGCCGCCTGCTGCTCTTGCCCTTACAGGTTAGTGCTGCCAGTTCCTCTCCCTGCTGTAGGAGAAAGAGGGGCAGCGTGTCCCAAAGTCCCCTGATGGGAACTGCAGCTTGTGTTCCTTGCCCTATGGCAGCAGTGACTTTTCTGCCTGTGAGGTGCGGGAGGAAGATTTGTGGGCTCCCAGCTTATCTGTGTGGATATGAGGTCAGCAGCAGGGAGGCTGTTCTCCTCCCAGCGCTGGTGTAACCACTCCTGGGAGCGTGCCATGAGAGGTTACAGGGGCCAGGTTATGTCACTTCTCTGTGTGCTGGTCCAGCTCTTCAAGGATAGGGGAAGTATGAGCTGTGCTTCTTGCAGAGTGAATTACTAGTGGTCAGGAAATGTTCTGGAAAAGAAAGTCTTTTTTTTTTTTTTTAAAACCATACTTTTGCTTTTCAGCCATCAGCTTCAGCTGCATGCTTCCTTTTTGAAATAGTCCTTCCCTCAGATCCCCAGTCCTACTTTGCCATGGGAATGTTTACGCTGCTCTGGAGCTATGGCTCCCACCCATGGTGCATGGGCAGCAAATCTTCATGACTGCTGATTGCCACGAGAAATTTAACATGTGAACACGTCTGCAAGAGGCAGCATCAGGTCCCGTGGCTCAGGGAAATTTGGGATCTGCCGCTATGCACTGATCTACTTCTATACTTTATTAAGTTGTGTGTCCTTTTTTGTGTTCAGGATGTGTAAAGAATAAGTGCCAAGCGCCAAAATGAGCGTGACATCGTGGTTCTTGGTGAGCAGTACTGGCATTCGCCACCGGCTCCCTCGGGAGATGATATTTGTTGGCAGAGATGACTGCGAACTGATGCTCCAGGTAATATGATTATTTCATTATTTGTTCTGGAGATCCAGTAGATGTGAATGTAATGTTGGGGAACTGCCAGATATTGTATGTTTTCTTCAAATGGAAAGTTGCAAAAAGAACTTTTTTAATGCTATCTGCTGTTCCCATGAAGACTTGAGATGTTCATGAAAGTGCAAGTGAGATTTCTTTCAAATAGCCATGTCATCAGATGGATAGGAGCTGTACTGGTGGGAGATTAATCAAATGGAACAGATTAACTATGTTGATACTGCTAGAAGTAGTAAGCAAAGACATAGCTTTCTGTCCTGATCTGTCAGTGATTATGTTACTGTTTGTGTAGATTTTAGTTATGTGCGCTGTTTGCTGGTATGTGTGGTTTGGAGGGGGCTGCAAGTAGGTTTTTGTAGTTAGACTATTTTTTGGCCTCTGATTCAAGTTTGATTAAATTGCAGCTTGTGTTAGTACCTTTCATACCAACACGTCTCTGTGCTGGGCCTAATCCAACTTGTCTGAAGCGTTGACTCTGATCTGATGTCTGACAGCATAAAGTAATGGACCTCGCTCCAAACAGACGGGGCTGGAATCTCGCAAAGAGCCTTTGACAGGAGCAGCTCAGCTCAGGAATTTGTGGAAGCTCAGGATCAAAATTAATATTTCGGCTAGACCCATGCCCTGAATGTCCACGTGGCTGTTGGTGGCAACATTAGAAAGCAGCCTCGCATCCCTGGGGACTTCCTTCCCCTTAGTTCCCACTGCTGACCTGTGCAAAGGCATTTCCTAAATGCTTTGCTAATCTTCCACCAGGCAGGCTGGGTTTGTAGTTACTCCAGGGATTTCGTATGGTATGCGAGCAGGAGGTCTCTTTAGGGGGTAGAACTTCTCATTGTGTGAGGTGTGCTTAGAAGGCAGTTGTTTGCTAAGGTGTTGTCTAGCTGTAGTAAGGCTTTATGCTCACGGAAGGAGAGCTTGCAGTCTGTGTTCTGCTGTGCTAGTTGGCAGTTAATGAAATGGCTATGCTGCAGTGCTGGAGTTTGAAGTGTACTGCTGTTCGACAGTAAATCATTTGTTTAGGTTTTCCCATGAATCACACTATCTTTTATTTCATGTTTCCACATGTCTGACTGGTGAGACATGCAGAGGCTATTAAAAATGTCCTAATATTTTCTGTAAGTCTGTATTTGACTGCTCAAAAACCTGATTGCCTTGTTCTCCCATGACTAAAAGGGAGAAAATGTATACAGTGGCTTTGGCCTTCAGAAATGGCCTGAACTTTAGGCCCATCCATCTTATGACCTTTTGAGGGTAGGGGAATTTTTTTTATCACCCTGAAAATCACGTGTCTCAAGCTGGGAACCCTGAAATAAAAGTACCTAAATTTCAGTCGTGCTTAAAACGTGCTGCTTATTTCAGAGAAAACTGGATAGCACGGAGTGTGAACCGCAAAAAACCGCTCCATACCGCATGGAGTATTTTCATCCTGCTTTGCAAGTCTGAGCTGGCTTGCCAGTGTTACATGTGGACTAGCAACCTTGTGTCACGGTAAATTTGTCATGCTCTTTTCCACAAAGTAAGTGAAGTGGGATTCTGGGAGGAGCCAGCAGTATGTCTGAGACGAGTGAGCTGTATCTGGGGGCTCATAGGTGGTGGTGGGAAAGGAGGTTTTCACTATTTGGCCAGAATGTCTACAAAGGCCAGCTGCTTTTATGTTCATGGGGTGAATTGCGTGTGACCCTTTATAAACAAATTATTTTACTATCTCCAGTAATAAAGCTGTTTCTAGGATCACATGTCAGGTTTCATTTTGAACAGCACAGTGCGTTTCTTTCCAGGCCTTTTGCTTATGAAGATGTTTTTCAGAGCTACCTGGGTCTCCAAATGACACGGTTTCATAGTAAGACTCAGTGCAGGGGAGAGAGACTGCAAGCACACACTTGATAGCCAAGCAAAGTTATGTGTGAGCAGATGGAGGATGAGATCTAAAAATAGACTTTTTTCCTACTGTGACTGTCCATGTCACAAAACCATTGGGCAGACTGACACAGCCGTTTATCTTGGGGAAAGCTTAAGAAGCAGGGAGGTTATCAGAGCAGACGGACAAAGCTCTGTGTCGTAACGTTCATACCTGTCACGTTGCCGTGTGGGGCTACAGTGGTACTGAGCCAGAAACTGTATATTCACTGCACAGTTACTTTGCTTGTCTGTTTCAAGATACTGGCATTTAATCCCTTCAAGCGTACAGTTGTGAACAGACTGGCGCTGTCTGGGGAATGGACTGGATGACCTGATCGGTGTTTTTCATCCCAAAGATTATTGCTACTTAGTGATTTGATTGTGCTACGGTTTGTGGTTCCCTGTTGAGACGTGTGTATTAGACCCTGTGCAAACATATGACACGGAGATAACCCTTGTCTGGGCTTTCCCCTTTTACTGTTTTAGCAGTTTCTAGTCTTTTGATATTTTCTTGGCGATGTTCCCTCAAGGTGTCAGATCCCTGAACAACAAAAAGTGATAGCTTTTTCAATGAACGATAAAGCTTTATTTTCACCTGCATTTACTTGTTTCGTACACATACTAGAGCTGCGTTCTAGTTGACAAAGGGCGGAAGAAAACCATAGACTTCAAGCTTAAAATTAAGTAGGTTTGATAGTGGAGAAATATAATCTACCTTGAAATCTTCTATACCTACTAAGAGGATTAGAAATATTTTAAATATTTTTGCAGTTTTGTAGAGCTTCTAGTACAAGTAAATGTGAGATTTACATTGAGTTTGAACATTAATGCAAGGGAGAAAATGCCATGTAACATAGTTTTGGCATGCACAGCGTTGTTAGGAGTAGTCAAGGGCTCAATTCTCTCCTTTTTCTGAAGCACAGTGCTTGATGCCTTTAATAGTTTAGCAGGCTCCCTTAAGATATTAGTCAACAAGCAGCAAGGTTATGGAGTCCAGACCTTGACTGACCTGTAGGAAGTGCATGTTTTTTTTATGAATCTTGGTGGGAGTAAGGAATAATTCTCTGAAAACATTTACTTTGGGGAATGTTGCTTTGGAGAAGTAGGAGCTTTTAATGGCAAACTAGTAACTATGTAATTCCCTCCCCCCAGTATTTTTCATGGGAAACGTAATTGCCGGTTTTATCAGCTTTGATCATTTGCTTAATGTGATAGATATGTCCTGGGGGGTGTAAACCTTCCGTAAATGCAAATTTTTTACTTAAATGTTAAAACTTTCCCCCACCTCTAAGTACAACATCTCTTTATATTTTTAACAAATGTAAATATTTAACGGAAACGTAAGCAGTTTCATGACTTCCCTGTTTTTTTTTTTTAGGAAAGATTTTTATTAAAAATATGGGAAAGTGAATGTTTAACTGGTGCTGTCTTGAGTATTTGCTTCTTTTTAGAGCAAGGGTTTGGGTGCGTTCTTGTACGCTGTGTGAGCGTGTACCGGGGAGCGTGCGTTACAGCTGGAGTTGGTGAAGGTGGCGTGATGCTTTTTGTCTTAGGTGTGGCCTCTGCCCCGCGTGTCCTTTAAGGCATTTTCTGTTATGAGACTTGGTTTTCTAGTGCATGTGACTTTGCTAGACTTTGTAACTATTTGAGTAGAGAATTTATATTCTGGTTGTCTGTTCTAGACAGTATGCTCTGGAAGACATCGGCTCAGTTCTGTGTCTTCTCTGAGTACGAGTTTGGGAAAAATACTGTTTTCTTCATGTAAAATATTTAAAAGTATGTTTAACCTGTTCTTTGAAGTGCTGGTGCTGTGGAGCCAGAGGCGTAACATTTTTGAAGAGGGAGCTTCTAGGTCAGGGATGTTGCTTTCTCCCATCAGTAATCTAAATACATTTGGCCAAGGTCCAAGCCTTTGAAAATAGTTGAAGCTTGCATGTGGTCACTAGGGACCTACCTGACATTATCATTTTAGGAAATGTTTCATTTGGGAGTGAGGTTGGTTCAGGGTGGGGTTAGATGAGAAGCAAAGAGGACAGGACTGTCACAGATTGGGCAAAGAGGAACTAAGTGCAGGGATGCAAGAGAATGGAGTTTCGATATGAGAACAGTGGTCCTATATGAAATCAAGGTGCATCTTGCCCACTGTGCTGACCCAGACAGGGGTCAAAAGAAGCTGTCGAGGAAAGTGTAAGGATGAGCTAAGAGTATAATGATACTTCCAGAATGCTTGCTTAGCCTCCAGCAGTTTGCATCTTGAGGAGCCACAGGCCAGCTCTTTGTGTTTAATTGTGAATTTTTAGTCTATGATAGCTAATCTGGAGGAGGGGATTAAGATGATTTGGCTGTGCAGGGAGGTGTTACAAGAAGCTCGTTGTCTGTACAGCGTGAGAGGAGCAGCAAAGAGTGAGGAAGTAGCAGGACTCGAAGAGGTGGAGGATGATGAACATGGGATGGAAACAGGTCAGTGTGGGGAAAGTGGGTGTTGTGGTATACGGCTGCTGAGCAGCATCTCCCTTAGGCCTGAGATGGGCTCAAGGCTTGCTTTTATTCTGGTGTCAGCAAATAGCTGTGAAAGCTACTAGCCAAGCATCTGTCACTGATCCATATGGGGCATTGCATGTTGCTTATGGTATCAATTAGTCAGTTCAAGCGGCAGGGGCTTGTGAGCTGAACGTACAAGTCTTTCCTGCTGGTAAACTGAATAAATGGTAATTTGATAGTGCCTGAACAGACATTTTCCTCTTCTTAGCTTGCTTTGGTAAAAAGCTAGGAAATTATATATATTTTAGGCCTTTAAAAGAGCATTCTTGTGACTGCTAAGTTAAGTGTTTATAACTGCAAAGCAATTAGGACATACCAGTGCAAAGATTGCCTGTGTGATCCTGCTCCTACCCCTGTGTACATAGGCATGAAGATGAAATCGGTCACTGTGTCGTTACCTGATATCTTTTCCCCACAGGATCTGTTCCTTGTTTGGTACACAGGATGCAAGGTGCACTCTGCAAATAACACAGTGCCAAGATGAGCTCAGTGTGTATGTTACGAACTGGTCAAATTAA